CACACACACACACAAACAGGTGTGGTGGGTCTCAGAACAGCAGCAGCAACACACAATCGGAAGGGAAAAAGAAAAATGGGAGTCATCGTCATTATCCCTTCCAACCCCTTCCGCACTTCCTTTACTCTCACTTCTTCTATCCCTCGTTCATCAGATGGACTAAGTCAGGAGGAAGAATGTGTTTGCTTCTCAAGCCCCCTGTGGTGCTGGGATGGCATGTTAAATAGCATTCTCCTCCAAGGACTCTTACCAGCATATGGCCACCGCCCTTTACGTGCCTCATAAAAGCACATGCCATGCTGACAAAAAAAGCCTCTTCTTCACTTGCTGATCCCAAAATGGTAGTCACACAGCAGCGGTTAAAACATATTTGTGAAGAACAATGCCTTTGATAACTTTAGTGGGAACGAGCATTACCAAAAAGTAAGAACTATTCAAGTGTATAAAAGTCATGAAGTATAAAATAAGAACAATAAATGGTTTTATGTCCAGCTTATTGCTTGGTGCATCCCCTTGGCACGAGATATAAAACTGCACAATATCCAAAACGTTTGACACATCCACAAATCACTGGCTTTTACTAGGCCTGGGCACAGATAAAGTTTCACAGCATAATCATCGCTGTATGTCTCCCATTGCCAAAAAGTGCAGGCATGGCCCTCGAGGCCTGAGAAACAAACCAGGGCAATTTGTGAAAACATCTGCTTAAAAGATGTTGGAAAATGGTTCTGATTGAATGTGAATAATATTCATCTCAGTAGGCTGATCTATAATGCATAGTGTCTTTGCACAGCTTAAGTAATATAGAAACAGTAGCAGAATTTAAAGTGCTTTAATAATTCATTGTGGATATCTATTCTATGAGAGAGAGAATGGAAGAGATAGTGGGAGGTAAGGGGCTAAGAAGACCTCTACAATCTGGCAGAGTTATAGATTGATGTTAAAGGCTGCCACGTCTTTCGATGCTTTAAATTATTAACAGAACTTGCCCCAGTTTGAAAAGGAAGAAACATGCTCTATACTTTAACATGAAATGAAATCAAGTTAAAATGTTGCTCTTTGGGTCCACAGTGGCTTACTGACAGTGTAGTCATATAATGACACTCACTGTGATTTTAATAAAGGATAAAAGACTTCAGCGCTGCATTCACACATACAGATAAAAAGTAGAAGGCAGGCTCAGTCATCTCATGAAGCTGTAGCTCTGCATGTGTGTTGCACTT